GGCGACCCCCAGGGGGAGGGCCTTCTCTGTGGGTGCCCCCACCCTCTGGAACGAACTACCCCCCGAGATCCGGATGATTCCGGATCTCCTTACTTTCCGCCGCGCCCTCAAGACATGGCTTTTCCAGCAAGCGGGCCTGACCTAGGGAGGATTTTAGGTAGGGACGATTTTAAGAAAATTTTAATTGACACACAGCTTCTAATATTTGGCTTTTAATTTGGTTTTATGGGGTTTTTTTGTTTTTTGATGTATTTTGTTTGTCTGTTTTAATATGCTGTGCACCGCCCTGAGTCCTACGGGAGAAGGGCGGTATATAAATTAAATTATTATTATTATTATTATTATTATTATTATTATCATTCTAATTATATTAAGTTTTTTAGATGATTAAAGCAAATTTACTCTAACAAATTAAAAGGCCAAATCATATAGTAATTAGATTATGGAACTGAACCCTTTTGGTTCAAACAAAAACCACATGGACCAAAATTAAATATGAAAATGTAATATAAAATTAATATTCAACCAAAATTGCAACTGTTGGAATCAAACTATAAATGTTAGCATAATTTCAAAAGCCATTCGAAACTGGTATCTGTGTAATTAAAATGTAGGTGCCAATTACTGAAAGAAACTGTTATGCAAGTATTTAAAGAAGCAAATCTTAACATGCTAGCTGTAATTCATTCTCCAAGAATACATAGGATTTGTAAATAGACTAATTTATTGTTGACCTGTAAGGCTGTGATTGCAATACAACTTAATTAGATTTTATTTACAGATCTAGAATATTCTGAAAAATGTCCAGTACAAGAACTAGTGTGCTGTGATAGCAAATGATTCAAAGTAGGACTGCAAGATGCACCCTTACTTATCCTTGCACTGTGTCATTGTCCCTCAGATACAATTATCTCTGGGGTTTGTGGTGTTGAAAAAATAGGGAAAGCACAGTCATCTGATGAATACAGAGCTTTGTACAAAAGGGGTGAAATTTGTGTTGCAATGTCAAATACATATTTTGTTACTTAATCCCCCATAGACATGCACCGAAGGAGGGTTATTAGGGCATAAGGAGTA